TAAGTTCTAACACTATTATAATCAAGAACCTCACTATACCAATGTCACAAATAGATCAACTAAACAAAAACTCAATAAAGAAATATCAGAACAGAACCAAACCTGGAAACAAATGGGTTTAGTGGATATCTATAGAGTATTATACTCCATAACATCAGAATACACATTCTTCTCAACTGTGAATGGGATGTATTCCAAAGTAGACCACATATTAGCCCTTAGAATATGCTTGAATAAATGCAAAGGAATTAAAATTATCCTATGCATAGTATCTATCCACAGGGAAATGAAGTTGGAAATCAATGGCAAAATAAGCCACAAAAACTTCATAAGCACATGGAAATTAACTCTCTCCTGAACAAGCAATGAATCACAGATGAAATTAAAGAAAAAGTTAGACAGTTTCTACAATTAGATGATAATGCTGATAAAAATATACCAATACTAATGGACACAACAAAAGCAACTCTGTGAAGAAAATTTATAGTGGTGAACTCTCACACCAGAAATATACGAATTACTAAGGTTTAATAAATAAGATATAAAAATTCCAAATAAACCAGTATCATTCAATGAAAGTGAAGATTAATTTAAAAACTATCAACAAAGAAAAACACAGGTCCTGATGGATTCACTTAAGAATTTTCCAAGAAATTCTGAAAAGATGTAATGCTACTATCACTCAAATTCTTTAATCAAATTGAAAGGGAAGAAATATTCCGAAAGTCATGGAAGCAAGTATTAACCTGATACCAAAACCAGAGAACAACCGAAACAAGAAAGAGAACTACAGGCAAATCTTCCTCATGAACACAGACACAAAAATCCTCAGTAAAATACTGGCAAAAAATGCAGCAAATCATCAAGAAGATTAAATATCATGATAAGTAGGCTTCATCTCAGGAATGCAGGAATGGTTCAACATGTTCAGATCAATAAATTATTATGGAATCATCTTAACAGAGCCAAGAATAAAAACCATATGATCATTTCAGTAGATGCAGAAAAAACATTTGACAAAGTCTAACACCCATTCATAATAAAAAACCCTACATAAAATTGGAGTAGATCTTTATTTCAATCTGATAAAAGCCATCTTGACAAACCAACAGCTAACATCATACTAAATAGACAAAAAATAAAGCTTTCTCTCTAAAATCAGGAACAAGACAAGGATGTCTACCATCACCACTCTTATTCAATATGGCTCTGGGAACATTATCCAGATAATTTCAGGGTACATCAATCTGATTTAGAGGTTGTTTTCTTTCAGGGCTTGAAATACTTCACTCCACACTCTCCTTGACTTAAAGGTTTGTGTTGAGAACTATGATTCTTATGGGTTTTCCTTTATAAGTGATTTGTTTCTTTTCTCTAAAGTTTTTAATATTCTCTTCTTGTGTTGAATTTCTGGAATCTTGACCATTATTGCCTTTATGTAGGTTTATTTTGGTCATGACTAATTGGAGTTCTATTTGCCTCACTTATGTGTATATTGAATTCTTTTTCCATGCTTGCGAAGTTTTCTGCTATTACTTGTGTGAACAGTTTTTTTTTTAATATCGCAGACTTCTGCTTTTTCATTGACTTTGATCACTCTTTTGTTATTCTTTTTTTTATCATGTTGCAACTGTCGGATTGATTTTTTGAGGTCCTTTGTTATTTTAAAGAAATCTTTCTGTTAGTGTGTTTAGGGGTGTTAAATAGCTGACTATATCAATGTTTTTGGATCATTGAACACAGCTGTTTGCAGTCTCCCTGTTTGAATGTCCACTTTGTATTCTTTGATACTGTGATTTGAGCAACTATTTTCAAGATGATAATATGTAATCTATTAACAGGTGATTTCTTACTGTTTTGTGTTTTTTTTTTTTTTTGTAGTTCTGTACTACGTGTACCCTTACACCGCTTTGTTTTGTTTTGTGTTTTTCTCTTTTTCCTCTTAAATAAAAAAAAAAAAAAAAGAAATCTTTCTTTTCGTGATTGCTGACAGCTATCTTCTCCTCTAGACCTGACATTTGGTCCTCACCTTTGTTTAATTGGCTGTATATACTTTCAATGGAATTTTTAATCTCCTGAACATCTGTTGGAATCTGTTTCATGGATCCCTATGTTGGGCATTCCTGATTTACACCATTTTCCTAGACTCCTCTGTTTTGGATTTATCTGCCTCTGCTCTAGAGTCACTGAGCAAGCCTTTCATTTTGATGGTCATCTTTTTTTTCATTGAGATATTACTCCTGATCTGATTTCCTCTATAGCCTCATTTATCTGTTTTCGTTTTTACTTCTGTGGCTCCCATTTTGGAAAATTCAGGTGGATGGCTACAATTTTCTCTATGTCATTGACCCCTGGACTTCTCCAGGGTAGACTGGAGGTTTGAGTTGCATTTTACTTATGTATCTTGTCATTTTCTATTTTTAATTTTAATTTTTTTGTGTTGATGCCTGTAAATTGCTTATGGTAAGTAGCTTCTCATTAGTATTGCTTCCCTAGAAAATGTTTATTCCTCAAAGATGTCCTCTATATGTAGCTGCTCTTGGCCTTTGTACCTGTCCCAATATCCACCTTTCCAATATATTAGGGATAAGAAGTTTCTGTCTGCTCGACTCAACCCCCTGGTGCTTTGGTACTGGACTACAGTGGTGATTATGGCCCCAGATCATCATTGCGTTGTCATACAAGGGAGAACAATTAATTGTAACAGATATGAAACCCTGATTTTAAAGGTAGTACAATTAGCAATGACCATAGCATCAAGCATAGCCTAGCAATTGACAAACTGTGGTAGGTTTTAATTTGGTAACCTTTAACTTTGGGTGTGAGAAATACAGTTATTAACAAAATCCCACATAAACTTGGAGCTTGTATGCTGTGAATTTCCTGTTAGAATGATTTTATGTTGAGAAGGTGAATTGAAAGGAATAGGGGAAAATACAGATAAATGAAGAGAAATGGGGTAGAAGGAAGACTGAATGACTAAAGATGATCGTCCAAGCTCTGGGAAGCTGGAAAATAGCACAGGAGAGAAAGATTGAAAGAGAAAGCAAAAAAATATCAAAGCCAACCAGAAAGACTAGAGACAATGTTCACTCACATGAAAATAACAAAGAATTAAGAAGGCCATTTGAAAAAAGAGAAAGAAACCAAACAAAATAAATAAGAAAAGTAAAAACCTGAACAACCCAAACAAACAAACAACAAAGTTCCTCTGGTGTCTTCAGAAGTATCCAGGTCAGAGCCCACATTAGTGCTGGGTTACCCCACCATTAGGGCCGGGTGGACAGTTGAACTTGGCCTCTGGGTGTGGGGCTGCTGCCAGTCTTTAGTCAGCAATTTTCTGTATGTGCCTCAGTGGCCTCCGTGGCTCGTGGTCCCGTGTCTCTCTACATCTCTCCCAGTTGCTGCAGTGACTTCAGAGATAGCCTGAGGCCCCTGCCAGCCCTTGTAGTCAGCCCCACTCAGCCCCTGCACAGCCTCCTCTATTCTACTCCACTGCGTCTCTCTCCTCTTCATTTTTCTGGGAGCAGGCAGGGGGAGTACTGTGGCTGCTTCACCGTCCCTGCTCTCACCTGTCTCATGCCTTTGGGAGCAGGACTAGGGGAGTGTTGACTTCCCACTCACTGCCACACTGTGGGTTAAGGCTCCTTAAGTCAGGCACTGCTGGGAGCAGGGCGCAGTGGCTGGGTAATTGGGGGTGTTGTGCTGTTTCCTCACTGCCTCCACAGCCACCACTGCAGTCCCTAACCTTGTTACTATAGGTTACAGTTGCTCACTATGTTGTATGACAAAATGAAAAAGGGAAAAAACAAACAAAACAAAACAAAACTCTGGCAGCCCACAGGGAGGTGTAGCTTCCTGGTCATCCTCCCCTGTGTGTGCACCCATCAAGATTTGCTGCCAGGTTGCGGTGTCCTCTGTTTGGAGGAAGGCAAAGAGGCGAGGGGCCTTAGATCCCAGATTTATCCTGTGTGGCTTGGGTTTGCTGCACTGTTGCAGTTCATCGCTTATTTGGGAAAATCCCGGAATGGAAGTTCCTACTCCATGCACAGGCAGCATTCCTACAGGCAGCGTTGTGAAATACTTTATCACTTTATGAAGTCTTTTTTTCTTTTGGTACCAGGATTTCATAAAATCTCAAGCCTATGTGTGTTTGATCTGCAAGTCTCTTACTGCAGATTAATTTTGGCATCCAGATGTATGTCTCTTACTTTCTACCAACTGCCTGTGTTTTTAGATGATTTTCTTTGAGTTAACCCAATGTGGCTTCTTCTTGACGCAACCATGTTGAATTTCTTGAATTTTTCAAATGGGAACAATTCTCCTTCCTTGAGTGTGTTACTGGAAAGTAAGTCAGCCTGCAAGGTGTATCACTAGCCAGACTACAGTCTGCCTACACAGCCAAAGAGGTGGATTCTCAGCTCCACGGCCTCCTGCTCTGGAGCTGTGAAGCTTAACCTGTAGGCCCTTCATTTAAGTGGGCTTCCTGTGAGGCTCTGTACCCAATGTTGCTTTTCATTCTTGCATAAGTTTCAGAGATCACAAGCCTTGGCTATTTCTTCATAACAGTTTTGGGTTTTAAAATCAGAAAATTATGTAGAAATCTACATATGCATGGCTTACTTCTCATGTGCCCAGAATGTTAGGACTACCCAGGTAAGGCTGAAGAATTAGGATCCCTTGAGATCTGAAAAAGATATTCATCAAGCAAGGATGAACTCAGGACGAGGATTTGGACACCGGAAGCTACAGCACTGAGATAAAAGCTGCAGGTGGTGAAGCAGATGAGGATGGGGAGCAGACGCTGAGCAGGAAGCCCATATCATTCTTCTTCCCACGAAGGGAAATGTAACAACAGAATGGCATTTGGAGCCACACTGAGTGTTACTCAGCACTCTGTCACTGTGATAAATACCTGAAATATTCAACTTGTGAAAAGAAGAGGTTTACTTTGGTTTCAGAGGTTCCCACTCATGGTTGGTCGGCCCTGCTACTTTCAGATTCCAGATGGGGTAATGCACCATGGTGGGAACAAAAGTGATGTGGAGCCATTCACTTTCTGACAAGTCATGTATCACGATGTTGGACACAGGACAGACACTTGGGAGCGACCCACAGAATCACTCTGCTGAGGTATGATATCCCCACCACCAGAGCATCCTTATGGCACTGACCACCCCCTTCTAGCCCTTCTAGCCCTGAGCATGGGTTTCCTCCCCTGCCCATGCTCAGACCTGTTGGTTCCTGGGTCTCTACTATTAGATGAGTAATGAGCAGGACAGAAGCTCCCTCTCCAAGCTATGCTAGAGCTCAAGTAACATGTTCGAACACCCTGTTAGCATTATTGCCAATGATAATAAGAGAAATAATGAGCAAGAATTGCTTTTATTAAATAAATCAGGAAAGTACACTTTACAACATGTCCTGGAGACATCAGGAGGCCCTCAAAGTGCTGGGACGGTGTTGGAGCATGATTCCCCTCTGTGCTGAAGGAGTTACTCTACAATTACAGCAGGTTAGGACTCATCTTCTAAATATATAATAACATAAATGGACTTTTCTGTTTATCAACTACTGCAGTATAAGTATGCATTTCCTCCCTATAAACTGCCCCTTTTTAATAGGTATGTTTGGGAGTGATACCATGATTGCAGGCAGTTAAGGACCAAGGTATTTAATCTTCATCGGTTGCTATTTTTCAGTTTGAGAATAAACAAGGAAATTGAAGTTTTCTTAGCCCTATAACTCTCTACAGAGTCAGAAGCAGCCAAGGTACCCTACAGGTGCTCCGGAGGGATCTTGGGAGGGAAGGAATGTTAATGAGCAAGCTCTCCTACACCGTCTCCATTGTCCCCTTGCTCCCTCAGGGGGCTGGATCTGAAATGGTCCTGGAAAGGTAGCAACATTAAACCAGCAAGGCACACATCTTGAGTGAATGAAGTATGCCCATCATTGGAGTTCACTGTGTCTTGTTTTATTTTTGCCAGTGCAGGGGGTAGAACCTAGGGCCTTACACATGCTGGGCGAGCGCTTTGCCACTGAATTCCAACCCAGCCCACGGTGTTTTGATTAAGTAATACATGCAACACAGTCTCTTGCACACCTAGTGTATTTGGTACCTGGAGTCATTAATATTTTTACAGCCCCTTCTATATCTCAAGATCACTTCCCATCATAGTCATGTAATCATCATTATTTTCTTGATTCAGTAATTTTAAGACAATTTAGAAAGGATAAACAACCATATTAAATACATTATCCAAAGTTAGTAGAAGACTTCACACTGGAAACCAAGTGGACTATTGCCAAGCCAAACATGGTACCTTGAGGCTCTCACTCTACTTCATTGTCTTAGATTTTAAAGGCAGATAAAACGCTCATCCTCACAGCAGACAAGACGGAAGTCACTTGAATTTTGTTTCTCTGCATTTACAATCATTTATTTCAAGGCAACCATTTAAATGCAGGAATTGTGCTAGCACAGGGGTGAGGACAGAACTGTGCTGGGAAGAAAGCTCTAAGTATTTCAAACTATTCTTCCACTGGGAACGGGCTTTGGACATGACAGCCTTTAGCTATATCTGAGGATTGGGCAGGCAGTTGTGAGATGCCCCATTTACGTGGAAGTTTTTCAAATTAACTGTCATATGATGTACAATGCTTATTAAAGACAAGTAATGAAAAGATAATTAAAGCTATAATTAAAATTCATAGAGGCAAACATAATTGAAGTAAATAAATAGTAATCACATTAGCTATTTCAGACTTAGACTGCTGTAAGGTTTGATCTTGGGAGGCGCCCATCTTGTAACTGATCTGTTTAGAGCTATGGGTGCATGATAATAAGAAAAGATGGGCCTGGTGGACTTCAGTTCTGCTGATGTTAAAGTTCTCTGCAGACAATGCCACCACTCTGCCCCATGGAGTTCTTACAAAGTAGTTGATCCCTTGGAAAACCCACCAGCAAGGAGACAGGACAGTTTGATTCAGATTGAAGTCTTAAGCAGCAGAGAGAAGGCTGTGCTCCTCACCATGTGGCCTTAGCCTCTCACCCTGGTCAGAAAGGCCCCCTTGCTGAATGCTGAATGCTGCTGGCTTGAGCTGGGCTGCTAAGAACAGACAAGGCCACTGGCTAACCTTGAGATTTTAAGGTGTCTTTACAAAGTATTTTCCCAAAAGAGAAAGTATTTTGGCCTTCATTGGAATGCCATGTGACAGAGGACCTGCCATGCCATATGGGACCCAGTGGCCAAAATAAACTAATGCTAATAAGAAGAAACAGCCTCAGAACCCATGAAGGTGAGGCCTTTGGGAGGAACCCTGGGGACTGGCAGTGCAGGACTGGGAGCCTGCATTATTTCAGCTGGAGTAAGATTTCTATGGTCTTGCAGGGAAGTGGTGGCTTTCACAGACATCATCTCCCCTGGTCTCCCAGTGGCTCTTTCTGGTGGGCACCATCATGATGGGCTTTAGTTTATAGTCTAGGAACTCGCATTCAGAATGCTGAGTCAGCACTCCAAAAGACACAGAACAAAGTCCTGAACCACAGGGTACTTAAGCTTGTGTTTTTCTGAGTAAAACTCTATAGCCCTGAGCCAGACTGACAAAGAAGAAATGGTGAAATGTATGCTAAGAATCCTAATGTTAGGCCGCTTGTGATTATGCAACTTCAGAGGCCAACAGTGATAAACTATAGTGCTAGCTGGTATAATGGCACACATCTGGAAGGCTAAGCAGGAGGAACACAAGTTTGAGTTCAGCCTGGATAATACAGCAACTTAGTGAGACCATGTCTTAAAAAAGAAGAGGGGGCTGGGGATTTAGCTCAATGGCATAAGCTCCTGCTTGGCAAGCACGAGGTCGTGAATTTGATCTCTGGTACAAAAAAAAAAAAAAAAAAGGAAGAGATAGAGAGAAAAAGAGAGGGAGAGGGAGAGGGAGAGAGGGGGAGAGGGAGAGATGGAGAGGAGAGAAGAAGAGAGAAAAAAAGAGAAAGAGAGAGAGAGCGCACAGGGTATTTTATACAGTGCAAAGGTATTGGGCCCAGTCCCCAGTGCTGGGGGGGAAAGGGTGATGAAGTAACCCACGAAAAAGTGTCAGCCATGAAGAAAAGGTCTGGGGATAGAGGAAACAGCAAATGGCTCTGACTCTTGTAGGTCAAGCTTTGTAGGTCAGGGCTATTTGGGCACCCTTGCCCTCTGTAACCTGCCAGGAGTTTTCACTTCAAGGTTACCCACAAGTGGACTGCTGTGCTCTGCCCACAAACTATCAATTCTTTTTCCATAGTCAGCCTTTGTCAGGGACATGAAGTTTCAGGTAAGCCCAGACTTGATGCCAATCAATCAAAGGGAAAAAGAAAGGAAGCCAAAGGCACAGGGACTATTCTGGCCTACGGTCTACACTGCATGTGAACCCATTAACTGCTGCTGAGGTTTTGTCGTTGAGGGCAGTTTGAGATCATAGTTGCATAAAGAAATGCTTTCTCTTTTCATCCATAGCTCATTGAAATTGCATGATATACAGAGCACAGATGAATACAACGTAGTAAACACTTTGGCCAATAATGAACGGTTTTGTTAGAAACATACTGAGAGCTTACTGGGTGTTAAATGTAGGTCAAGAGCCTTGTATGGTAAGCGAGATAGATGAGGCCTCTGCTGTTGTCCAATACTACTTCCTTGGAGTTTGTACTCTTGAGACTTTGTTTGCTGGGGCGAGGGAATGGGAGACAATGATGAACAAGCAAAAAACAAAAAGCCAGCAAGAGGAAGAAATCCATAGGTAGTGATACACGCTGTAGCAAAGGACTGTGACCGAGAGGCGCTCTGTTGAGGAGCTCAGGCATAGCAGTCCTTCCTGAGACTGTGATATTTGAGCTCCCACAGGAATTATGAAGATGGTGCATATGTGACAAAATTACATGTACCAAGACCCTGAGGCAGGAATCAGCCTGGTTGGGGTCACTGACTTGAAAGTTCTGTGAGTTTCAAACACTCAGAGTTCAGAGAGAAGAAGCATGAGATGAGGTTAAAGAGCTGGTCAGAGACAGGGAATGAAGCTCAGCCGCACACCACCTGCCTGGCAAGCACAAGGTCCTGAGTTCAATTTCTGGTACAGAAAAAAATTTATAAAGATGTTGTCATCCATGGTAAAGGTGAAGTGATAACATCAAGAACAGAGAAATGACACTATGTTAATCTGTCCCTGAACTTGTCCCATCTTACATTGGATTTGGCATGGAAAAGTGCTCAGGTTTGCTATTTCTTCTGTTTGACCCTATTTTGTGACTACTTCTTGGTTGAGTGCACTTATGCACACTGGAAGGAGTTGTCCTTATGGGAAAACGTACAGCAAAGAGGTCACTGACTTTCATGTGGAGCTAGAAGAGGAGGCCATACAGCAGAAGCAGAGGCCATTCATACCACCTGATTTTGAACCTTAATTTCCTTCTTGAACTGCCTCCCGTAAGGTAGAGCAAAGATTGAACAGAAAACTGCATAATGCATGAATATTGATGACACTTTTTTGGTCGTGTTAAGCAGCAGTAGCCTTGACCTGATACTCTTAAACCATCTTAGAATTTTGTCCTACCTTGGCACCAAAGGCCAGCAAATGCTTTCCCCGTCTGTGATCCTGGCAGTCCCCAAGGGGATAGGTCGGGTTTATCTGTTCAGCTAGAACTGCACCTTACCCTGCCTTGCTTTGTGAAACACATATTCATAGTCTTCCTACAGGAGAAGATCTTAGCTTGTCTTTGCAGAGAGACTCTTCCAAACTAGGGTGAGGAGTGTGTCTTCCCTGCAAAGGATTTCTGTAAGTCCTTGATTACCGCCAAATTTAGTAACTTATCAGGAGGCCTTTCTGTCTTTCTAATAGAAATGTTGTAATTGTACTTGCTGTCCTGTGGTTCTGTTTTCTCATGTATCAGCTGTGGCCAAAGATATCTAAATCACCTTGTGTTTCAGCCTGTCAGAGTGAGAGGGCGTCTCGGAGCCCAGGCAACCCAAAGTCTGGAGGGATGTGGCTTCAGGGTGGCAGATCCCTGCGGCTCCACTGAATGCCCATGGCGGAGTTGTACACAGTGTATCTTTCAACTCCACCATGTACACCCCAATCATGGGGACAAGAGGCTC